ACTCGAATCAGTGGAGCGTGAATCTTCGTCCGCCATTTTGGATTTTCTTTAAAAAACCGCTGACCTAACAACCCGGCTACATACCTCTTTCGCCCATGATCTGCCCCAGGGGGGAGGAACTGCACTTTTTTCAGAGGAAATTCACAAATTGTCTACTGAAACATTGTAAAATATGGAAGCATCGCCAATTAAAGCCCTAAAAGCTGCTCCGATATCTAGAAAACTAGAAATTGCTCAGAATGCAAAAAGTTGCTCGAAATACGAAAAGTTGCCAAAAAGTTGCCGAGCAACTTGTGGCAAGCCCCAATCTTGGTTACGCTTATTGGGCATAGTCGGATAAAAGTTAACTGGAAAAAATAGCAAAACCACACGCTGAACAATTACATGCGCAAAATTGATCTTTTTTTGAGTTTCTGATCCAAGGAAAAATAATTCTCTTTTTCCTTTATGGTCAGTTATTGCAATCAGGAGCTCCGCTTTTAGGCTTGGCTAAGTCTAAACATTCCCTTAAAACCCATCTCTTAACCTTTACAACTCATCTCTCACCCCTTACCACTGATCTCTTAACTCTTACAATTATTCTCCCAAACATTACCACTCATCTCTCAACCCTTACAACTCATCTCTTAACCCTTGCAACTCATCTCTCAATCCTTACAACTCATAACTCAACCCTTACAACTCATCTCTCACCCCTTAAACCTCAAATCTCAACCCTTACCGCTCATCTCTTAACCCTTACAATTCATCTCTTAACCCTTAAAACTCATTTCTCAACGCTTACAATTCATCTCTCACGCTTTACCGCGGCTCATCTCTCGACCCTTACAACCCATCTCCCAGCCCTTACCACTCATCTCTTAACCCTTACAACTGATCTCTTAACCCTTACAACTGATCTCTCAACCCTTCAAATTCATCTCTCAACCCTTACAACTCATTTAAGACTTACAATTTCTCTGTCACCCCTTACCACGCATCTCTCATTTCTCACAACTTATCTCTAAATGCTTACCAATCATCTCTCACATGTTGTTACCGACCTCTTAACCTTTGCCACTTATCTCTCAACCTTTACTACTGATCTCTTAACCCTTACAACTCATTTCTCACCCCTTACCCCTCATCCCCCAGCCCTTACAACTCATCTCTCACCCCTTACCACTCATCTCTCTACCCTTACAACTTATTTCTCAACCCTTACAACTCATCTCTCTACCCTTACAACTTATTTCTCAACCGTTACCACTAATCCCTCACCCCTAAAAATTCATCTCTCAACCCTTACAACTCATCTCTCAACCATTACAACTCGTCCCTCACCCCTTACCTCTCTCTCTCAACGCTTACCACTCATTTTTCACCCCTTACCACTGATCTCTTAACCTTTTCCACTCATCTCTCAACCCTTAAAAATCGTCTTGCCACTTATCACTCTTACCACTTATCACTCAACCCTTACAACTCATGTCTCAACCCTTACAGCTCATGTTGTTGTTGTTGTTTATAGTGGTCAATGCGCTTAGCTACACCTAGCTAGTTCACAGGCATGCCACTTT